TGCTTAGAACTTCAGTAAGGCAAAGGTGAGTGCAACTTCTTTGTTTTGTAACAAAATTGAGGAAGGCTGGCAATAAGCCAACCTCAGTGTTTTCGATCGAAAACTTTATAATTTCTTTTATGTTATATTGCAATGTTTTATTCAATTTATATTATACAAGCTATATTTTGTGATTATATGATTATGGAAATGTGAACTTTGAACAAGTGAATGTGAAAAGACTCTATGTGAGAGTAACTATGTGAATAAGAAACACTTCGAATAATGATTGAACATTATTATGTGATTAATAGCCCAAAGTATATGTATGAGGATTAGAGGTATAGTTGGCATGCCAAGAGTCGAGGGTTTTATGTGGTCCTTCGGGATAATTATGTGGTCATTCGGGACAAATATGTGGCACTTTGGTGTAAATCTATGTGGTCCTTCGGGACAATTATGTGGCACTTCGATAAAAATTATGAGCTGTGGTGACAACATTAGTGCACAACCTCAATGTACTCAAATACCTAGCGTTCTTAGTAGTATAGCTTGGGCATTTGGAACAAATATATACAAAGTGAATACTATTTATAAGTATACCGTTTAGATATGGAAAAATAAGTTGAAATACTTTATAAAATTGTTCCGATAAAAACCAATAAATGTTTCATTTATTAAGTTAGCACTCTTAGTAATTGCCTCACTAATTCATAGACTTAGCGTGTGATATTTCTCACGCGTTGGTTTGAAGAAAGCGGAAGATTGAGTTGTCGATGATAGTATACCGTGAAGATCAGATCAAGACAAATTAAATGTAGGTTTTTGTTAAATTTGTTAATTGTTGGCATGTATTATACGTTTAATTTGAAATGCTATGATTTATTTTGTAAACTCATATATATTTTGTAATTCTGTACATTATCAAATCTTTATGTAAATATGAATGTGAAATGCTTTTCTTATTTAAATTAAGGTTTATACTTTTTATCTTGATCCAAAATTTTAAATTGTTCCTAATTGTGAATCACATGTGTTTTGAAAAGTCAATGTGACACCTCAGATTCGTATTTGGGTTGGGTACAGGTTAGGAGTGTTACATAAAGTTTTGTTGAGATTTGGGTTTTTAAGCATTTATATGGTTTACGCTTGATTTTATGATTAGACGATGAAATTGATGTAAAACATGTGTTTTTATGATACTCTAAGACCCCTAGTAACCCCCTAAAGTTTTAGTACATGATTAGAAACTAAACTAAAACATTTGGGATGATTTTTGGGTGTTTTCTAAGCCTAAGTAAGACATTTCTAGGTTTGAGTATCGATACTGGATGAAAATATCGATAATGAAAGATTTAGGACAAAATCTAGGGATTTCAGGCAGGGAGTATCGATACTGATGGGGAGAGTATCAATACTGCCCCTTCAGTATCGATACTCAAGGTGTACAGTATCGATACTGAACCTTATTTTCATCAACAACAATCATTTTAGTACCAACACTCATAGGGGTATCGATACTTGACCCTAGGGTATTGATATTGCAAGTAGAGTATCGATACTACTCACTTTGGATTATTAGAATTGACCTATTTAAGGCCTGTATGAGTTAGGGATAGTCCATAAGGATATAACTTAGTCCGTGAGGGACATAAATGGCAAAAAGGGGTCTAAAGATACTTGTATTAGTGGGTTACAGCTAGAGTAACTATAGTGGGCATAATGCGTCCGAGTATCTTTAGTTGAACACGTAACGAATAAATAAGAATGAAGGATCTTTGCGGAGGATGTACCGATAACAATATGATGAAACAACCATATTATGAAATAACGAAATTATGAGCGACACGAATGTTACTAAATAGTGGATGTACAGTTGTCCCCCTAATTCGAGGGTGAATTGAGGGAAAGCATAATAAGAACGATTAGAGTGTCATTACCTAATAATGAACCCAAATTAGGGATCGGGCTAGCTAGTATCACAACTAGTGAATAACAAACACAGAGATTGTCTAGAAATCATGAAACCTAGAGAGACATAAATGAATATAACACCCTTAAGTAATGAATGATCAAGATAGAGCCGCTTAATAAACCATTAGCAGTAATAGAATAATAAACCTTCGCATAAAATTCTAGATGAGAGAACAAGAAAGATAACATCTAGTGAAGGGTTGACCTCACTTTAATGTGTCTAGCTATGCTAGAGTGTAGTTAGACTACCTTAGTTTCCCTGGTGAGGCATTGTCAGTGCGCGAGGCACCTTAGGGGTTAACTAGGGCATGAGGCCTGAACACACACGAGGAGTGGGTTAACGATGTCAATGTTGTGTGGCCTTTGGGCCCTTAGATATGCATGTATAGTTGCTTCAGTCCAGTACAACAGATATCTTTAAAGCCTAGCTTGATGGTTATGTGAGACCGAGCCAATTCTTTAGTTGAGTGAGAATTTTACCGATTGCTATGTTATGATCATGATCCCCCTCCATGATCTACATGACAACTATGTGAGGACCAAGAGATCATTCAACAACTTAGTGCAAATTTCACTTATGCTATGTGACAACGGGTTCCCTCAGTTAAGTACTGTCTGATGGCTATGTGAGACCAGATACTACTCAATGTGGCATTTAGATGATGCATACTAGAGTTAGTGTTGCATTTAGATAATGCACAAGAGTGTCAGTGTCACATTTAGATAATGCATAGCTGTTACAATGATTAGGATTAATGACCCTTTAATGGTGTACTCATGGCGAGGCCCTTAGCAGAGGATTAAGGGAAGCATGAAACTCCTACTTCAGTGATATAACAAGTAAACCCTCAGTAGTTAGCAGTTGATTAAGATTAGCGATTATACTGCTAGGCATTGTAAGCTCAGCGTTAAGATGTTTTCCGTTCGCAGGTTAGTACCCAAAGCCGTTCGTGGAGCATTGTCGCAGCAGGACTTCCAATATCCTCTTCAGAGTACTGTATTGTAGCTTTAGTGAGCATATGTATTCATAGAACCTCTTCAGAGTCACACAGCTCCGGTTAATAAAATATTTTATAACAATTAATTATGTTTAGTCTTGATACCATTGTGTGTTTTAAAATGGAAATGAATAGGTTTAAAAAAATTAGGGGTTGCAACAGCGGCTTAATGTGACATTTTAGGCTTATTTGGGTTTAGGGTGTTACACACATTTTCTGTATCAATTTAAGACCAAACTCACCTTTTTTTAGTTTCCTAGATAAACACAAAATTAGCCTTATATTTTAAAATAACACCCCTAATAGCCCTTATTTTCTCGTTTCGCCTCAAACCTAGGACATTCGAAGTGATTAAAGACAAACTCGTTATAAGAAATATAGATTAAACCCTGTAAAAAATTCATTAGCTTCTGTAAAGCTCAAGTTCGAGCTCACAAACCTTTTTCATGACAAATCCCTACCACCTTTAAAAGGAAAACCCAGTAAATTACCTACCTCCCAGACTTCTTCCTCTTCATTTTGTTCCTTTGAGCGATACTCCTCAGGTCTTGCATGTTGAATGGAATTCACAGGATAATAAAAGGGGACGCACTACAGCAAAACTGTTCTGTAGCGGCGTTTTTAGCGGCGTTTGTTGATAAAACGTCACAAAAGTATTACATATAGCAGCGTTTTCAATCCAAACGCCATAAATTGAGACTTTAGCGGCGTTTTTTTGAAAACGCTGTAATAGAGTATAAATATAGTAGCGTTTTTGTTAAAAACGCCGCCATAGGATGGTATATAGTGGCGTTTTTTCAACAAACGCCGCAATTAATAATAGTTTTTGCGTCGTTTTTAGACAAACGCCATAGAAAGGTTAAACAATAGCGGCGTTTATAGTAAAAATGCCGCAATATAGTAGACATGTAGCGGCGTTTTAGCTAAAACGCCGCAATATAGTGTTAATTTAGCGGAGTTTATACCAAAAATGCCGCAATAGAGTGGTAAATTAGCGGCGTTTTTTGTATAAACGTCGTAAAAACATGAGATATAGTGGCGTTTCTAGACACAAACGCCGCAATATATATGGACATTAGCTGCATTTATTAAAAAAGCGCCCCAATAGAGTATAACTCTAGCTGCGTTTGTATTACAAACGCCGCAATTGTTACTTAAATCCTACGCGAGCATTTCCCCCCTTCAAATCTCATTCTAAACCTAATTTCTTCGAAAACAAATGCTCTCTGTTTCCATTCGAATCTATTTTAGTCAAATTTCTTGCTTCCTTGATATAATTCCACTAACCTTGCAATTTCTTCTATTGCCTCTTTTTCTAAATTTTTCTCGCTTCTTTCTTTGTTCTTCTTCTTCTTTCTCTGGAAATCTTAAAGTTTTGAAGAGTTGAATCGCTATGGTCACCAAAATCCCAGCCTTGGGAGCAATGTAAGTTTCTGTTGTTCTTTTCGATCAATTTGTAGAAAATCTTAAATCTACTTCCTTATTCGACGGATTACACTTTTATCACCTCGTTTACCGACTGTTTCTTTTGCTAGATTTTAATCTTTTGCGTGAAAACCTAGAATTTCTTGCTCGAAATGATGAAATGTCAACATGCTACCTTAGTTATTGATTACTTGTTTAATTTATTTTCCTAATTCTATTGCCTTCTGAACTACTTCTCCATTGAGTTGACATATAGAAGTTAATTTTTAAAAATGGAAATTATGCTGATGAGTTTGGTTGTAGATACATTGAATCATGCAGGAGGTACGGTGTCGCACCGAACTCTGGATTTTTATCTTCTCTCTTTAAGGTTTGTCCCGACTCCCGATAAGTTATTCTTAAATTTTAGTATCGCAACATGTATTCTGTATGTTTCCCAATGCTTTGAAATGAACTCTTGAGTGTTGAGAAATTAGACGAATGTGGTCAGAGCTTCTGATCATTAGATTAGAAACCTCAAATTAGCTTTCCAGGCTTGTGATTTTTCTGATCATTCAGTCGTGCTATCAGTGTATTTCAATTGCAACGTTGAATATGATATGGAGAATTGAATATTCGTTACAGCTGTATTGATGGCATTGACTTGCCTACTGAGGATGTTGGCCACGCCTTGCAATTTCTAGAATTTTGTGAAGCTTTTGGAGAGGTGAACTTGTTATCTGTTTGTTTAGCATGCATCTTAATAGGTTAAAATTTGCACTCTTTTTAGTTCTGTATTCTCTCTTGGTAGTTTTGTTTGATTTCAGGTTCTCAATATGAAGAAAGGGCAATCTCAGTTGATACTTAGAGAGTTACTTACTGGAAAAAGCAAACGCAAACACAAACTACGTTATCCTTCGATTGTGCAGTTTCATATTCGACTGCTTTCCATGATGCAAAAGGATTTGGGAAAAGAGTATTCATGTTTAAATAGATAGTCATAAACATTCAGTTCCTTGTTTTAATTGGTGTATTGATCATCTGAATTAATTCTCTGTGCAGGTATCCTTGCCTTAGTCGGGATTTAAGTGAAACTTCATGGGCTCAAGTTCTTGGAAATACATCAGTGATTCTCAAAAACCATTAAAGCGGTCACTGTCGGATTGCTTAGATATGAGTGATGATAGATATGAGAAATTAAATTCCTCTAAAAAACTGCGACTCTTAAATTTTCTATTCGATGAATCTCTTGTCACCACGTAAGTCATAAAGTTCTTTCAATAAATTCTGGTCATGTTTTTCTTTTTAGATTCTTAAGTAAAATGTATTGATAAAAAATTTCACAATTCTTCCCTTCAGAGAATTCAGAAGCTGGATTTATGAACAAAACTCGAAATTTGTCGAGAAAGAAAAGAAAATGAAAGAAAAACTTCTTTCTCGGAGATAGAGGGTAGTGAAGTCAATATGACAACTTAGCTCAAGCAAATGCTAGTGTTAATGTTAAAGTTATGCCTTTGCTTGTCTGATCATAATTCTTTGAATAGGAGAGAAACATGGAAAAAGAGATGAAGCAGAAGTTGCAGGATGAGATAGCCAAAGCTATTATCATGAAAAATGGTGCACCTCTTTCCATTTCGGAGAATGAAGAGCTTATTTCTAGAATCAAGAAAGAAGTGGCACAAACTCTTGAAGTGGCCTATACTCTTGCAGGTACATTGGAAGTGTCCGAGACAGTGGATGAGGGTATGTTCTGTTACATTGTCCTTAATAGTTGCACAAATGGATCCCTCTTTGCATATTTTGGCTGACACATTTTACCTTGCTAGTGATGCCTAAACAGGAGGAGGATTGTCGATCAGATGCTGTTAGATCGGAGCCAATATTTTGGGACGGCCATGGTCATAAGTTTTTCAAATTCTGGAGATTGAGAGGCCACTTGGGTGAATCCAATATTCTGCTTCAAGGTTTGTCATATGCTTTGATTATCCAAAATCCGGGTTTCATCAGCTTGTCAACCGAATTGCCATTTCATTTGTTTCCGCTAATGTGCAGATATCGAGGTCGGGGATTCAGTTGCAGCAAAAGAACAATGGTACAGCTACAGCACCGAACAAAATGCTACGGTTGAAAAATATTTTTCATCTTTCAGGTATCAAAAGATGATTTTAACCGCCTACCTCTTTTCAAAAATGTCATTTAGACTTGATCATGGAAATATGGCAAGATCAAATAAGTCAGAAATAGACCATATTTCATGTTCTTGGGATACTATTGCTGTACATCTTTCATGGCCAGAATTCATCTTATGACATTGTTAGGCTATTTTTCATTTTTATCTATGTTGCTCGGACTCTTCATTTTTATCTAGCCACACCCCGGTCCGACACTCATACCCCAATCCGAGTAACATAGTTCTTGATTGGTTTCTTCATAATGGATTTCATTAATTTGTCATTTTGTTTTGCAGGATGCAAAGGAAATGAGCAATCTATATTGCCTCATATAATTTCAAGAAAATACTGTAGCTACATCATAGTTTTATCTATCTATCTATTTATATATATGTGTTCCTCCAAACAAATCATGTTTGTATCCTCCCGTGTGTGTTACTAAAAGAAACCAAGTTATGATCTTTCAATGCAACGGAGAGGAAGCTATGGTTTATGGTCTTATACAAGATCAGTGTGTATTTTACGTACTTTCTTTGGCCCATTAAGGTTTCTCTTTAGAGAAGGCAAAATTGGCCCAATAAGTCAAGTGGGTAAACTGATTAGACCATTAGGCCAACCTAGATTTTAATTTGAAATCTACGGTAAATATTATAGTATAGGGTAAACTCATCAATCTCATATGATTAGTTTGTTTAGATAATTGTTTTATTCAAATTTGTCAAGTCGACGTGACAAATTTTAGAAAGATATAATTATTTTATTAGAATTTGTCATATTGGAGTGATAAGTTTTAATAAAAAATATATTTTATTGAAATTCATTATATATGCGTGAAGGGTTTTATTGAAATTCGTTATATATGTAGAGAGAGCAGCAGTGGAAGCGGAGAAAGAAGCAGCGGCAGCACAGAGAGAAGCAACATATCAGCAGAGATGTGAAGAATTTGAAAAACGACTCAATGATATGATGCTAATGATACAGAAAACGCAACCTCAAAATCCACCATCATAGTCTCATTTATGTATGTTATGAGCATTCTGTTAATGTTATTGAAACTTGTTTAACTGAACTTATATTATGTTAATGAAAATTTATATTTATTATATTGGATTTGATGTTGTTTGTTATGGATATAGAGTTTAATGTTATAGTTGTTTTGTTTGTTGGATAATGGAACAAGTTGAAAAAATAGATTTGGGGTAATCAAGCATTATTTTTAGAATTGAAAAATCTTGTGTTATTTAGCGGCGTTTGCAAACTAGAAATGCCGCAATATACCAAACATTTAGCGGCGTTTACAAACGCCGCAATATACTATGCATTTAGCGGCGTTTTTGCACTAGAAACGCCGCTAATTCTCAACCCTTATTGCGTCGTTTTCGATAAAAACACCGCTAAAAAACATAACTTACTGCGGCGTTTTTGGGAAAAACGTCGCAAAATATCAAAACTTATTGCGGCGGTTTTAAGTAAAACGCCGCTACATCTCAAAACCATTTGCGGCGTTTTTAGAAAAAACGCCGTTAAACATCAACTCCTATTGCGGCGTTTTTCTGACAAACGCCGCTAAATAACAAATCCTATTGCGGCGTCTGTTCAGAAAACGCCGATATATGTTGTAACCTATTGCGGCGTTTTTTTAAAAAAACGCCGCTAACTTTAGCGGCGCTATTTTCAGCGGCGCTTTTTGCGGCGTTTGTCATAACGCCGCATATGTTTTTAGCGGCGCTTAAAAACGTCGCTATAGGTAAAAAAAACGCCGCAAAATACTTGTTTTGCTGTAGTGACGTCCAAAGAGTTCCTGATTTGGCGACACATGATTCTCCTTGAGTTTGCACTAAATAACCTATAACTGACTTGAGGAGTGATTTTGGAGCAAAGTCGAGCAATACCGTCCGAGGTATATTTATTGGAATATCTGTTGGGGAAATCTAAGTCTTCAACACTGTCTAGAACCAACTCAATGGAGGAACCACTTAAGACTCTCGTGGTGAGGGTGATAGAAGAATTCTGTGCAATTAAATCATCCTCACGTGCAATATCTTCTGAGCCCAAACCTAAAACCAAATGATAATTATTCTCATTAACTACAACTCATAATTGTGCAAAGCCCACATGGTTATTAAAAGTTAGATTCAAAGGAGTGAGAATGGACTACATGACTTTCAACATTATCATCTAAACTCCCCCTGTCATGGCCGGAATCCCTTTTAGAATTATTATTTGGCGGGCTCCCTCCAACCTGATCCGAATTATTGATGAAACTGAGCGTCATTGTTAATCTATAGAGCATACCAAGGAAATGGGGGAATTCGGGAAATTGTAACTCCGACTGGCTCATGCGTCTTAGAAACCGAAAGGTTTCGAGGGCAGTTTGAAACCGTCTGCAGAGCTTCGGTGATCAGAAAATTATTCCGATTAGGAGTGACATTTTCACGTACCGTCGCTCTATCTCTTACAATCTCATTCGGTCAAACATTTGCATAATTCTCTTCTACGACCCCATTAGAATTCTCTAGATCAACATCCGTACTACCCACACAAATATCAACCCGAAAGAGAGACCACAGGGATCTTACCATGACAGAACTTGGGACTTCCAACGGATTAACCAACCTAACAATCATGCTTTCCCTATCCAAACGGTTTTTCTTGAAGGTACTTTCCTTCGATTGGATTTAAACCCCCAACAATTTCCTAAGCTAGAGAAAAAACCTTCATGCTAACAGGTAAGTGGCTTATGTCAGATAAGGCTCCCTCCTTACTACCACCTTGCATTATCATCACTAGATGGTTAAGCATGTTTACATTTTTTCTACTAGCGTTTAGGTTACTTACTAGGACATCTCTGTACATCTTATTCGAAACACCATCATTCCTGCCATATTCTGGGACAATCCTAGCCGCCACTGGATTAGAAGTTGAAAGAGGGGGACCATCTTGACTGTCATTTTAATTTTGACTGGGGGCTGCTGCTTTTGCTCTAGGATATTTGGCTTTAGATGCTCGAATAACTCTGCCATCTATAATACTCTTATCCATCTTCTTCACCAAATTTTCCAGATCCTTGCAACATTCCACTGAGACAAAGACAAAAGTGAAGTCCTTGTATTTTGCTCTCCTATTGTACATCGGAATATAAACACGAACAACTTTTTCGTGATGTTTAAGTAGTTCCTTCAGCGTTGATCTTGATACCCTTCTTCTCAGATTGTCAATAAACAAAGTCCACTCCACCTCCTGAGGAAAAATAGACGAGACTCTCACTTCATTAGAGTATGACGCTTTAACTCCTCCAATCTTCGATTTCCCAGCATCCCTGATAGAGTCTTCTCTACACCGACCACCGATTCCATGTGGTGTAAATGCTTTCCTCTGCTTAATTTGGTAATAAATATATTATTTATATACTTTAAAAAATATAAATACCGATAAAAATAAAATAGACTGTACTAAATATATTATTGAAAAAATAAACAGTTATCTCAAGTTAATATATGTAACTTTCATTTAAATTATATCCCATTAATTTTTTTTTCTCTTTCCTATCAAATGAAGCCTACAACTTGTAAATGTGTCATCCACATATATTGGTATCAGATAATGGTCTGACCACTTTGATGAAAAGTTAGAAAGACGAGGAATGTTATTCAAAAATGGATCAAAGTATGGAATTGAAGCACCTAGTCATCATATTCACCAGCCCTACAATATTAAATATGTATGAACAAGTCATCAAAAAACTTCAGTACCAAATCACTTCAAAAAGTGTTCATGTCAAACGATAATCTCACAGGATCTAGCTTTTTGCTTTCGGCTTAGTTGAATCTTCAATTGATGGTCCTCAAATTTTATGCTTTAATGAAGGCTTACGAAGATAATAATTAAAGTTTTGGAAACGATGGAGTATATTATTGGATCATATCATTGAGCTTGTAAAAAAATC